GGATACTGTTATACTCTATGAATATACTACAACCTCATACATTCTCCACTTAATAGATATTTAGGTGGTTTCCAGTCTTTGGTTATTATGAATAAAACTGATGGCTACACTGTACAAGTCTATTTACGCACTTATTTTCTGTTCTCTTGGGAAAATGCCTAGAGGTGGAATTGGTGGTTCCCAGGGTACACTTATGTATAACTTTTAGAGTAAGCTGTTTCCAAAGTGGCTATACCATTTTACAGCCTGATGAGCAATGTATGAGTTCCAGTTGCTCCATATCCTTGCCAACATGTAACAGTATTGTCAGTCTCTTTAATTTTAGCTATTGTACTAGGTTTGAAGTAGTATCTCATTACGCTTATAATTGCATTCTCCAATGACATTATATGCCTTTCATTTAATGGCCATTATGTGTCTTCTTTTCTGAAATGATTGTGTGTGTGTGTGTATGTGTATGTGTGTGTGTGTGTGTGTGTGTGTGTGTGTATTACTGGCCTGCATCCTCTTAATCCGGGATACACATATATATATATATATATATATTACTGGCCTGCACCCTCTCTAATCTGGGACCCCTCGGGGGATATCTGACTGCACCTCTCACAATCCAGGACTGCTGGCTCCAAACCACTCGCCTGCGTGCTTGCCTGCCTTACTGCTCCTAACCCCTCTGCCTGCCTGCCTGATCTCCCCTAACCACCTCTGACTGCCTGCCTCATTGCCCCTAACTGCTTCCCTGCTGGCCTGATCGCCTCTAACTGCTCCCTTACTGGACTGATCGACCCTAACTGCCTCTGCCTTGGCCACACATCCAGAATCCAGGATTCCCTCCTCTGGCAGGCCACAGGCACATGGGACCCAGGCCAGCTTTGCCACAGGGGACATGGGTGGCCAACTTCACCCGGGCCACAGGTGCTGGTGCCCGGGACTACAGGGAGGGCGGCTTTTCTCCCTTTCCTGTGCCACCAGGCCCTCGGCCCTCACACCACTGTGGCTTTGTCTGGATGGACTTCTGGAAGGCATATGGTCTAATTAGCATATTACTCTTTTTTTGTTTGTTTTAACTTTATTTTTATTTTTTTTTAATCTTTATTGTTCAGATTATTATAGGAGATTATTATAGGTGTTCCTCCCCCTCCCCCTTAGCTCCTCTCCACCTGATTCCCAACCCCACCCAACACCCTTACCCCCACCACTGTCTTCATCCATAGGTGTAAGATTTTTGTTCAATCTCTTCCCGCACCCCTCAGACCCCTTTCCCCCCTGTGAATTGTTAGTCCAATCCCTTTCTATGTCCCTGATTCTATTATATTCTCTTTTATTAGTATAGGTACTTATTCTAGTATATCTGGTGAAAAGACTTCCTTTCCCCATGGGAATGTCTTGGTGTCTTGGTCAAAAAACAACTATGGCCGAAACCGGTTTGGCTCAGTGGTAGAGCATCGATCTGTGAGCTGAAAGGTCTCGGGTTCGATTCCGGTCAGGGGCATGTACGTTGGTTGCGGGCACATCTCCGGTAGGGAGTGTGCAAGAGGCAGCTGGTCGATGTTTCTCTCTCATCGACGTTTCTAGCTCTCTCTCTCTCTCCCTTCCTCTCTGTAAAAAATCAATAAAATATATTAAAAAAAACCAAACAAAACAAACAAACAAACAAAAAAAGCAACTATGCTTGTATGGGTCTATTTTACTATTTTCTATTCTGTTTCATGGATCTATTTGTTTATCTTTAAGCTAATACCATACTAAAAATTATCCCAGTAGCTTTAAAAGTCTTGAAGTCAATTAATGTATGACAACTTTTCTATTCTTTAAGATTGTTTTAGATATATAAATTCCTTAACATTTTCTAAACAGGTTTTACAACCATCTTGCAATTTCTATAAAAAAATCTTGTTGAGGTTTTAATTGAGACTGTACTGAATTTATGGATCAATTTGAGAGAAGTGATATTCTTTAAAGTCTTGATATTCTTAACAATATCAAGACTTCTAATAGAAAACCATGGCATATTCCCATTTATTTTGGGTTTTAATTTCATTCAGCAGTAATTTCCAGTGAAGAAATCTTAAATGTCTCTTTATTCCTAATTGCGTATGTTTTAATGCAAATGGGATTTTTATGAGCTTATTTTCCAATTTTTGCTGTTGTATTATAAATACAATTGGTTTTTATATATTGATTCTGAGAGTAGTTTGATTGTTTAGGATTGTCTATATAAATAATGTCTTGGAGTGAAAATACTTTTGTTATATTATTTTATCATAAATGAATGTTGAATTTTGTTAAGTGATGTTTCTGAACCTACTGAGATTTTTCAAATGTTTCACTAACTGTGCATGCCTGAGATAAACCCTACTTGGTCATAATGTATTAGTATTCCATATTATAGATAATATTGCTTTATTTGATTCACTAAGCTGTAATTTTCTCTCCTTGTAATGCCCTTATCAAATTTTTGGTTTGAGGCTATACAGGCTTTATAAAATGAGACTGAATGTGTTTCTTTCTCCTATATTTTCTGTTGGTTTGTGTAAAATTGATATTTCTTCCTTAAATGCTTCATAAAATTTATGAGTAAAACTCTCTGAACGTGGAGTGTCCTAAAAAAAAAAAAAAAAAAAAGGTTTTCTGATAAAGTTTGTGTAAAACTGGTATTAATTTTCCTTAAATATTTCATGGAATTCACTAATAAAACTATCTGGACTTGGAGTTCTCTACAAAGAAAGGTTTTTCGTGTGAATTTAATTTAGTAAATTTTAGGGATTTTTCTCATATCAAACAAATGATTCTTTAAAAGAAATAATGAAGTTTACCTTTTATATTTACTCACATATTCACAATTTCCGGTGATTTCATTTCATCCTTTAAGTTCCCTTACTGTTACCTTCTTCAGCCAGCATTCCTTATAACACAAGTCTGACTTTCTGCTGGAATAATAATCACCAGGTCCTGCAGACTGGAGAGAGCCCTAAGGTGACAGCTATATACAGACAGATCTGGCCAGTCCAGGTTCACCTCCTTCAAAGGTTGAAACATTCCTTCCAGTTTCTGTTTACTTTCTTGGACTCTCCAGTGCTTAAAAATTTTAACTATTGTAAGGGTTAGCCTGCCTGATACAGGTTCTTTACCCTTTCTAGAAACCAGAATTCCTCTGCAGATTCTATTTTTGATTCGATGGTAGTACTAATAAAGAGTGCTAAATTTTCTCACTAATTTTAGAATATTCAATCACAGGCTTACACAAAAGCATCATAAAAACTCTGTAAATATAATGTAAGTGTAAAATGGGGCTACATAAGCTAACCTTACTAGATTTATCTTCATAAATTTGGCTACAGTTTTTACTCTTCAATTTTCAAGTGGCTACTACTGTTAAAAAAAAAAAAACTTGCAATAACTAGAGACTTCCCTATGACTAACATTAAGATACTTTGGCTGTAATTATTCTAACAAGGCTAATTCCAAAAGCATATCTGGAAAAATAGACAAATGACTTGCTGAAATCTAGATTATCTGGTGTCATTTTTGAACTGTCAAATCAAGTGTGTGTCTATGAAGAAAATAAGTTAGTGTTAAATGCACCTTTTTTTCATGAATGTGATGACTCTATGAAATTGTATACATTATAAATTATATATTTTTAAAAAATGAGAGGATAATAAATGCATTTGTCTACCAAATATATAAATAATGTGTGTGTGTGTGTGTGTGTGTGTGTGAATCTCATGAATTATTAACTAATGAGCATTTATTTAGGTAGTATTTTAGATTTTGTTTATATAAAACAATGCTTTAATAAACATAACTGCACATATTTCTTTGCTTACTTGTCTGATCTTTTTATTAAGATAAATTCTTAGAATTTTAAAATAAATTATATAAGCATATATATGCACACACATAAACCTACACATCTATGTGTATTATTTGTGTATAGTTGTGCCCATTTACACTCCTAGAAAGATGATGAGATAGTTTATTTCTTGGTGTTTTGGCCAGAAAACAGCTATTATCAAGATTTTTAACATTTGCCTACTGGAAAGTTTTTTAAAATGACAATGCAATGCAATTTTAATTTGCGTTCTTTAAATAGTGTGTTGGCCATTTTAGTTCTTTTGTGAATTTCATGATTTGTAGTTTTTCTTCTACCACATTATCTTTTTCTTAGTAGGTTTTTAATGAAGGTTAATGTACTCTTTGTCTACTCTGACAACAGAGTGCTTTTAGGTCGGGCCTGCTAGATTTGAACTCTGAACCCCAGCACCACCACACCCTAGTTAGAGAAAGAGAGAGAGGGAGTGAGAGAAACATTGATGGGTTGCCTCCCATATATACCCAACCTGGCACTGAACCCACCACCTTATGGAGCACGGGACAATGCTCCAACTAACTGAGCCACACTGGCAAGGAAAATAATAGTTATTTTTAAAGTATATATGGTAAAGAGATGTGACTTTCATTTGAAACAGCAAAAACAATATTAAAACTGTTGACAGTCATTCTTTTGCAGTTCAATTTTCTTTGATAATCTCTCTCCTACACATGTTCCTTTTCTCCTTCATCTTTTAATACTAATAATTAGATCTTATGTAGAAGTGCCCAGATTTCTTAACTAAATTTTTTTATGATGGTCACAAAGTCATTGCATAAATATTGAAGTTTATTATATCTATGTATTAAAACAGTATCTTAAGAAGCAAGTATGCATTACTAAAAATGATCAAATAATATAAGGTTTAATTAATTATTCTCTGGGATTTAAAAATAACTAAATTATTAAATATTATTATCTAAAAAGTATAATAAATTCCAAACTATCAAGAAATAGGTTTAAGCTAATACAAAGTTACAATCATACTATAATCCTTTAGTAAATATTAAGCAATGTGAATTTAAAAAAAGTATTTTAAACATATTTTAATTGATAAAAAGCATATCCATATTTATTACTCTATTAGACTATTTTTAGAAAACTAGGATAACTTGAAACCATTTACCTGTTGGAGGCAGGCAGTCTTTCCAATCAAAATAGCCTGCATAAATTCCAGGTTCTAAGGAGCCAACAATGGGATCTGCTTTCAACTCAATGTAATTTTCAAACAATCTTTGGTCTAATTCTTTCAATGAGGCCATGCTAACCTAAAAACATATAATAAAGAGTAATTATAAGCTGTCCATTTGAGGGTGAAAGAAAAAAAGGAAATAATGTAAATTTTAAAATACTTCAGTGTATTTTAAAAATATTTATCACATTTACTACAAAAATCACATCTTTATTTTATGTTCAGTAATAAAGACTACACTTAGCATGACTATTCAACAAAATAAGAATGAATCCCCATGTATGGTCTACAGGTCTTTTACAGAATGTCCAGCCCTCGTGTACTTGGAGTTCCTGATGGTGGTGGAAGTGGAGCAGGGCGAGGAGGTTAGTGAACATCTGTCTGACCAGTCTGTGCCAGTTACAGTGGGTTCATGGAGCATTAAGGGTGGGAAGTGAAGAGTTTGGGCCTACATTCCTCTTTAGTAGACTGGCAGGCTAGTTGCTTCCACACCACTGACCCATGGGACACAAGCTTCTCTACAACACTCCTGAACTTCAAGAAGCTTCAAGAACTTCAAGTTTGTTGAAAAACAAGCACCCAGCTAGTGAATCTAGCAGCTATAAATGAGAATATTTGCCAAGCAGGAACTTCAGCAGTAGGAGAGAAAAGCAACCAGTTGAACTTAGAAAAATACTGAAAACCCTTACGGAGGTTAAAGTATGATATAAAACAAGACTTCATAAAGACAAAACACATGATTTCATCAGCTAACAACTGACTAGATGAATTGATGAAATTGCTGGTCACTACTAAGATTGAAATTAAGTGTAATTAAGTACTTCAAAGCACAAAGTAAAAATGTAAAGAGGTGGATATAATGAAGGAAGAGACTTAGAAGATAGTTCCAAAGAGCTCAAATATGAAAAAATCACACAAACAAACACACACACAAAAACAATTAAGTAGAGAACTATGAGCAGTTAGAGAAAAGGTAATAATTAAACAACCAAGAGAAGACAATTTAATTCGATCTAAAGACTTGAGTTTATAATCTGAATAGGCTTAGTGAGTTCCAGGCTAGACTATTAAGACACATCTAGGTAAATACTATTAAAAGTACCGATTTTCTAAAATAATAAAAAGAGAAAGAAACTCTTTAGGCTAGCACAGTGATCGGCAAACTCATTAGTCAACTGAGTCAAATATCAACAATACAACGATTGAAATTTCTTTTGAGAGCCAAAAACTGACTTCGGTGCATGGACCACAAAGTTTCAATCGCACTGTATGTGTGCGCCCGCACGTGGTATTTTATGGAAGAGCTGCAGTCAAGGGGCCAAAGAGCCGCATGTGGCTTGTGAGCCGCAGTTTGCCAACCACTGGGCTAACATATTAAAACAAATAATTTACCTACAAGGGAAAAAAACAACAACAGTCTGTAATCAGCTTTTCTCAGATGCAACATTGGAATCTGAAATCACTGGAATAATATCTACAAGAATAAAAGAAATGCAACCCAAGAGTCCTATATTTAGCTAAGAGAGTCCATTCAACTAACAGAGTCCAACAAACATATTTTTGAATATGTGAAAATTCAAAGAATATATCACCCATGTAACCTAAGAAAGTGTTCTCACCCAAAAGCAAATAAATATGTCAGACTGAGGAGGATGAACAATTGAGGAAAACATAGTATGGAATGAACTTTAAGCTCCCTTCCAGCATCCTTCATCCCTCTTTTTCTCTAATATTTAGAAACATAAACTTAAATAATAATTAGAGATATTCTGGGAATGATACAAGACTAATTCTTAAAAGAGGAGAGGCATCCCAAAATACAACATATCAAAATCTGTGTGACAAAGGTAAAGCCATGGGTTTTATCGCCAAAAATGTATCTCTCAGAAAGAAAGATTTAAAAGAAGAAAACTCAAAATTACTATTTTTATCTTTTACCTTCAATAGCTAGAAAGAGAAAATTGAACTCAAAGAAAGTAGAAGTGATAATTAAAGATAAGACCAGAAATCAATTAAATTTTTAAAAATATTAATATGAGAAAACCAACAATGCCAAAAGTAGGCTTTTGAAAGGGACATTATAGTTTTATGTAATCTGTCAACACAGAGGAAATTGAAAAACTCCTGAAAAACAGTTTTTTAAAAATGGCACAAGTGGTCCTATATGCCCTAATAGAGTCCATTATTTCAAATTAGAATTTTCGTGCACCCCGAAGAATGGGGCCTAAGCTGGCAGTCAGACATCCCTCTGGCAGCCCAGGAGCCCTCGGGAATGTCTGACCAATGGCTTAGGTCCACTCCCCATGGGGAGCAGGCCTAAGTTGTAGTTGGACATCCTTAGAGCTGCCGAGGAGGTAGGGGAGTCTCCTGCTACTGCTGTTGTGCTCGCAGCTGTCAGCCTGGCTTGTAGCTGAGCAGAGCTCCCCCTGACCAGCACTGACCAGCAGGGGGCAGTTCCTACGTTGAGTGACTGCCCTTTGGTGGTCAGTGCAACTGGTCACACCTGTTCCTTCCGCCCTTTAGGGTCAATTTGCATATTACCCTTTTATTATATAGGATACTCTTATATGAGGAGAACTTTAGGACCAGATGTTTCATTGGTGAATTCTACCAAGCATTTAAAGAAGAAATTATCACACACAAACTTTACTATAGACCAGAGCCTGAGAATGTTTCCTATTTTGTTTGATGAAGCCAGCAAAACCCTGATGTAAAAAACTGTCAAGAATACTGCGAGCAAAGAAAATTACAGACCAATAAGCCTCATGAACAAATACATAAACATCCTAAAAACCACTGGAAAATTGAATCTATAAATAAATAAAAAGAATACATTATGGAGAAGTGGAATTATTTCAACTGGTGAAAAAAAAAAAGAAATTGATAAATGTCTCTTCTCCCATTTATATTCAAGATTATAATGACGATACTAGTCCATGCAATGCAGTAAGAAAAAATGTCAGAAAAAAAGTTGAACTGTCTTTTCAAGACACACTATCACCCTATAGTAATACATGCATAATTAACACAATGATAATGAACAAAATGCAATACTTAGTAAAAGATAAATTATAGACCAGAATATAACAACTAAAACCACAAAGCCTCTGGGAAAAAAATATTCAAGACATTGAAGCTGACAAGGATTTTGACAGGATATGAAAGGCATTAAACATTTAAAAAAAAACTCACAAACTGAACCTCATCAAAATTAAAAATTTCTACTCAAAAGATACCATTAAAAGAACAGAACAGCAAGCTACAGGTTTGGAGAAAAAATAGATACTGACAAAGAACTTATTTATAGATTTCTAAAAATCACTCATAAAAAGGTGAAAACCCCAATTAAAAAAATGAGTAAGCAAAAGAATATATCTAAAAATGGATATCTGAATATATAAGACTAGAGGTCCAGTGCACGAAATTTGTGCATGGGGAGGAGGGGGTGTCCCTCTGCCGGGCCTGCACCCTCTCCAATCTGGGATCCCTCTCACAATCCAGGACTGCTGGTTCCTAACCACTAGCCTGCTGCCTGCCTGATTGTCCCTAACTGCTTCTGCCTGCCAGCCTGATAGATCCCTGCCAGACTGATGGGTCCCTAACTGCTCCCCTGCTGGCCTGATCACCCTCAACTGCCCTAAAGGCCCAGTCACCACCAACTGCCCTCTCCTGCCAGCCCGATTGCCCCCAACTGCCCTCCCCTACTGGCCTGATTGCCCACAACTGCCCTGCCCTGCCAGCCATCTTGTGAAGTCGTGTGGGTGGCCATCTTGTGGCGGCCATCTTGTGATGACGTGAGGGTGTAGAGCAAGGACCACTTAGGCTTTTATTAGTTTAGATGCTTAAAAGAATCACCTTTATCAGGGACAGATAGAGAGATAAAGGGAAATTCATAGTCTTAAATGTTACTATTAAAAAGTCAGAAAGGTATGGAATCAATAAACTATTAAAAACACATACAAACTAAGCACCCAAATTACTGCAACAACAAAAAAATCCTATCTAATAAAAGAGTAATATGCAAATTAACTGTCACTCCAACACACACCACGGTCATCCACATGTGGTCAAAGATGGCTGCCCCCATGTGGACACAAGATGGCCACCACAAAATGACCAGCAGGGAGGGTAGTTGGGAGGGACCAGGCCTACAAGGGAGGGCAGTTGGGGGTGATCAAGCCTGCAGGGAAGGACAGTTAGGAGTGAGCGGGCCAGCAGAGGAGGACAGTTGGAGGGAACCAGGCCTGTAAGAGAGGGCAGTTGGGGGCAACTAGGCTGGAAGGGGAGGGCAGTTAGGGGAGACCAGGCCAGCAGGGGAGGGCAGTTAGGCATCAACCAGGCTGGCAGGGGAGTGGTTAGGGGGTGATCAGGCTGGCAGGCAGAAGCAGATAGGGACAATCAGGCAGGCAAGCAGTTGGGAGCCAGCAGTCCCAGATTGGAAAGGGTGTAGGCTGGGCTTAGGGACACACACACCCCGTGCACGAATTCTGTGCACCGGCCTCTAGTGTGTGTGTGTGTGTGTGTGTAGAGAGAGAGAGAGAGAAAGAGAGAGAGAGAGAGAGAGAGCGAGAGAGAGAGAGAGAGAGAGAACAGTAAAGCTAAGAGTTGGTTCTTGAAAAGATTCTGTCAAGACTGATCAAGCCGAAGCCGGTTTGGCTCAGTGGTAGAGCGTCGGTCTGCGGACTGAAGGGTCCCAGGTTCGATTCCGGTCAAGGGAATGTACATTGGTTGCGGGCACATCCCCGGTGGGGGGTGTGCAAGAGGCAGCTGGTCGATGTTTCTCTCCCATCGACGTTTCTAGCTCTCTATCTCTCTCCCTTCCTCCTCTCTGTGAAATATCAATAAAATATATTAAAAAAAAAAAAAAAAAAAAAAGACTGATCAAGAAAAGAAGACTGAAAATATTAAGCAAGCAAGCAAGTATAAATGGGGGTCAGAACTTCAAATGCAGTTGAGATCGAAATAATATGAAACTACTATAAAAAATACTAGTTTTAGGCCAATAAATTGAAAATGTAGGCAAAATGGATGAAGTCCAAGAAAAATATAATTGATTATAAGGAAAAAAGAAGAAAA